AATATAGAATGACTTGCAAGGAATTGCAAGAAATTGGAAGCAGGAAAACAAATAGCAATCAATTAAGGAGCAAGCCCCAAACCTAAAATTCACATAAACAAAACACTAACCTTACTGCAATCCTAGCGGCAACAACCTCCCTACTCCACGACAGCCGCAATAAATGCCCCAATCACCGTCCACCAACACCCTTCCCGGAGAATCACTCAACAAAAGCTCCAAGCGTACCGAATGAAGGATGACGCCTCAATCACCAATCGTCCCTACTCCACGGCAGTCGCCTCAGTCACCAACCGTCCTCACACCGTCAACGACAACCGCTGTCCCGCCTCACTAACACGATTGAATGAAGGATGACGCAGTTACGCCTTGAGAACAACCGTGACGACACTAAGACAATGCGCCTGAGGAGAGGATTCGCAGGGAGTGGGAAATAGGGTTTGGTCGACGAGCTCGAAATGGGAGAGGGAAATCAGAAGTTTTGGTTTTAATTCACCCTCAAACATACCGACAGCCTAAGACCCTCGGTTTTTAAAATCACCACTTAATTACCGACGGCCTAAGGACCTTCGGTAAAGGGCCGCCGATATTTTGCGCTTTTTTTGTAGTGTATCTACTCATATGTGTGCAGTCCCTTTGATGTGTTATCACTTGGAGGTAACAAGTATTTCTTAATTTTTGTAGATGAATGGACTCGAAAACTTTGGATTTACTTGTTAAAAGAAAAAAGAGAAGTGTTTTCATATTTTGTAAAGTTTTGCTCTTTAGTAGAAAGGCAGTCTGGTTTGAAGATAAAAATATTCAAAGCTGATTGTCAAGGGTGAGTTTAACTCAAAAGAAGTTGATGAGTTTTGTGATTCTAGAGGAATTATGCATGAAGTAATTGCTCCATATACACCCCAGCATAATGGGTTAGCCGAAAGAAGAAACAGGATGTTGCTTGACATGACTAGATGCATGATAAAGGGAAAGAAGTTGCCTCATTATTTGTTGAACAGAAGTCCAACAAAGGCAATACTAGATCGCACTCCTAAAGAGGCCTGGTCAGGAAACAAACATTCTGCTCACCATTTGAGAATTTTTGGGTTTGTTTGCTATAAACATGTTCAAGACGAGAGGAGGAAGAAGTTAGATGACAAGAGTGAGACTCTCATCTTAGTTGGCTATCATCCAACAGGAGCTTACAGGTTGTTCAGTCCAAAAAAGAAACAGATCATCATTAGAAGAGATGTAATAGTGGATGAGGCTGCAACGTTGAATTGGAAGAAAGTTGAAGCAAACTTACAACCAGAGTCCATACCTAGCTTGTTAAAAGATAAAAGTTCTATTGTTGAACAGGTTGTTACCGATGATGGCGTTCATAAAAGAAGATCACAAAGAACAAGATTTCCTTCCACCAGTCTCTCAGATCATGAAGTTTTTTCAAACAATGATATAACCAACTCTAGTGATCTCGTTCATTTATCTTTTTTTACTGATGTACATACTTTGACTTGGAAGCAAGTCCTTGATATAAAAGAATGGAAAGAAGCAATGATTAAGGAGTTAAAGGCTAGTGAAAACAATAGAACATGGGAGCTAGTAGAATTACTGCAACATAAACACCCCATTGATGTTAAGTGGGTGTTTAAAACCAAGTATAAACTAGATGGAGAAGTGACAAAGTTTAAAGCCAGATTAGGTGCAAAAGGTTTTTTTACAAAAACATGAAGTTGATTTTACAAATGTGTTTGCACCTGTTGCAAGACTTGAAACTGTGAGATTGGTGGTAGCAGTACCAGGTTTAAGAACTGGAAAGTATGCCAAATGGATGTTAAGTCAACCTTCTTGAATGGGCCACTAGAATAAGAAGTTTATGTGAGACAACCTCGAGGTTTTGTGAATGATGGAGAGGAGCAGAAGGTTTTCAGATTAAATAAAGCCTTATACGGGCTTAAACAAACACCCCGTGCATGGAATAAACACATCAATTCACTGCTTATCAGACTTGGATTTCACAAATGTTCAGTGGAGTTTGGAATCTATGTAAAGTTTGTTACATATCAAAGCATATTGATAGTCTGCTTGTATGTAGATGACCTGATCATGACTGGAAACTCAGAAGGTGAGATCGAAGATTTCAAAAGGAGATGGAAAGAAGAATTTGAGATGACTGATCTTGGTAATCTTAGTTATTTTCTAGGGCTGGAATTCTAACAGACAGCGGATGGAATATTTCTTCATCAAAGAAGATATGCCAATGAAGTCTTGAAGAGATTCAACATGGAGAACTGCAACAATGTTTCAATTCCAGTCATATCAAACCTGAAGTTAACAGATCAAGGAGATGAGAAGAAGGTGGATGCAACTCTATACATACAGATTGTAGGGTCACTCAGATATATTTACAACAGTAGACCCGATATTAGCTATGGAGTTGGACTAGTGAGTAGATTTATGAATGAACCAAGGCTATCAGACATGTCAACAGCCAAACATATTTTGAGATATTTGAAAGGAACAACATATTTTGGTCTCTTATTTCCTAAAAAGACAAACAATGTTGAAGGTGTTCTGGAGGTTTGGTGTGACTCTGATTGGTGTGGTGATAAGGTTGATAGAAAGAGTACGTTCGACTATCTTTTCAAGTACATGGGAGCACCAATCTCATGGTGCTCTAAGAAGCAAAATGTGGTGGCACTCTCAACCTGTGAAGCATAATACATTGCATCTGTAGAAACAGCTTGTCAGTGTGTGTGGATGGAAACACTCTTTGATGACTTAAGACTAGAGTGTAGAAAACCAATACAACTTCTAGTAGACAATAATTGTGCTATTAGTTTGTCCAAGAACCCAGTTATCTATGAAAGAAGTAAACACATTGAGACAAAATTTCATTTCTTAAGAGACCAAGTCAGTAAAGGAATATTGGAACTAATATAGTGCTCTACAGAAGATCAAAT